TCCTTTCTATACAAAAGTGACAAACTCAGGAAGGGAAAATCCCAATTTGCTACAAAAGCATTTACAACATTACTTTGAACGTTTGAATAAGATTTAAAGGATTTTGTTTTGTAATTATTAAATTTCTTAAAAGTAGAGAAATTGAGATAGAGAATACAAAACTACCAAGAAAACTCATTTTAAATACAAAATGCATTATATCCAGAGACAAGGATTCTAGCATTTGAAATCTGCTATTATGAGAAATAGTATAATATTAAAAATAATAGTAGTTTGCATTTACTGAGACCTTGGTATGTTCTAGATATTGTGCTAAGCATTTAACAGATAAATTCTTCCAGGATTCACAATCCCATTCAGTAGTAAAGAAAAAACACTATATTTTAAAGATGAGAAACTGTGATTCAGAAAAATCAAAGGAAGAATACAGTCTTCTGAATTTCCAAAGTAATATATGTTTGTATTAGTAAGTTTGGTTTAATGCCTCTGGATAAATTTTTATCACAAATATTTAATGTACTAAATGAAGAATTCCCTGGAATATTTCACTCATTAATATACAACATCAAACTGATTTTAGAAGTAACACATAGTAGAGAGGTGATAAACTACAGTCTTAACATATGGCCGGGTTGCTGTCCCTTGGAGAATTAAGAGGCATCTCCGCATCGGTTAAAGATTTGCAAAATGTAAACTCAGGGAAATGTCGGACATCATCACGCTGGAGCCGCAGTCTTGAGCTTGGTGGCCTTTATGTGACTGAGCTCGGTTCACGCCTGTGTGTATTTATGAAAAAAAACTCCTGACTGCTTTTGGTGACAAGTTAGTACAAGTGTACAGAAAACAAATCCACACAAAGTCAGAAACTTAAAGAATTTCAAACTTAAGTCTCTAACAAGCAAGATGTGTTTACAAGGCTCCATGCTAGCTGACTTTCTCGAAATGCTGGTTTCGTATTATCTGATAAAGGCATTGATGTGAACTTAAATGGTTTAAAGTCATAGTAAGAAGTCAAAGCAAAAATATAATTAGTACCTAAAAAAATGAGTTTTTTAAAAAATACTTCCTCACTCATAGGAAAAGGAAAACCCTAAATAGCTCATTTTGTATTTCTTTGTGGTTAGTCCTGTTGTTTAAATTCTGCATTATTTTTGTGATATGGTTGACAGGTCACTCCAAACAGCTATGATTGGGCCAGGGAGCTAGCTTGACAGTCTAAGTATCTGCCTGGCAAGTGCAAGGACCTGGGTTTGATTCCTGGTACTACATGCCATGTTGACCACCAAAACTGGGCATGGTGGTACACAGCTGTAATCCCAGTGCTTGGGAGGCTGAGGCAGGAGGATCACTATGACTGTAACCTGGATAGTGAGACCCTGTACCAAATAAATAAATAAATAAATAAATAAATAAATAAATAAATGTTTTAAAAGATCAGTTTTCCAGTTCTAGATTACACATTAGCCCCTTCTGATCCTGTAACTCCCTGATAAGTACCAAGGAAGCCAAGCAAACCAGCTGCTCCTCCTGCCAATGGCGGGAAGCGGGCCTATTCTTTCTAAAACCAGTGGGGCTGGCATGAATAGCAGCTATCTCACTTTGTCAGCATAAACAAGAAATGGAATTGTTTTTTTCTGGGCTAATCACACAGCAATGACAGCGAGCTCCGCAAGCAGCTCATGGGACAGTCTCAGTATCTTTGTGCGACTGCACACGTGTGCCTGATGTGTGCTCTCGGCGTGAGTGCACCTAATGGGTTCCCCAGGTTCACTCTGTCACTTTTGTATAGAAAGGGCCCTTTGATATCCAATATGCTTCTACCTCTGACCTCCGTCTAAACTTGGAGGGTGGTGACTATGATCCCCCCTCTCTCCAGGTCTCTGCCCACACTGACTCAGGCTGAGAGAGGTGCCCAACTTTTCTCTCTTCCTGAGACCTTAAGCAACGCTGCTTGGGCACAAAGGGAGACTCAATCCCAGCTGGCTACCTCTAGGTGTTTAATATCCTGTGCATTCACCTGCTTTCTCATCTATGTGTCTAAGAACTGATAGTGCCCCACCATCATGCTTTACATAAGGATTAGAAATAATACATGATACTTGGTATAGGAGCTTAATAAAGGGAGTATTTGTGAATGAAGATTGTCTTAATTTTGTTGGTTTGGTTTTAGCAGTAATCCTGGGATAGTTAGGTAAGGTTTCAGGATAGTGGTGGCAAACCTAGGGCAAAAGTGCCACAGGGGGCTGTTTGTATCTCTGAAAGCTCTAACTCCCATTACTGTTCTAGGATATTACATCAATTTTTATCCTCTGTGTAACTACTGCTTGAGTTATAAATGAAACCCTGATCCATTTAAACTTCTAGCCTACTGGTTTAAAATCTGTCTGTGTTATAAAATGAGCATTTTTTCCTTCAGAAATGAAAAGTTAAAGACCATGCACTCTCTAATAGGCCATGACAGCACTAAAGTTCTAATATTTTATGATGAGGAATCTCTCATCTCCTGTTTCTATGTAGTACTTGGTTGCTAGGGGCAACGCTTTGTCTATTACCCCATTTACTCATGCTCTGAAGTTACACCATGTACATCATATAATAATTACAATATTACAGAAGCTGAGCTGGAACATCAAGCACTAGTATCGTGAATTCTTTTTAGAAAATGGAACTGCATTTTTTTTAAAAGCAATGTATTTGGCACAGGGTTTTACTACTTAGCTCAGACTCAGAGTGATCCTCCTGCTTTCAGCCTCCCCAGCGCTGGGATTACAGGTGTGTGCCACCACACCTGGTCTTGGTGGCCAGCTCGGTGCACCTGGGGCAGGGCTGGTACAGCATGTGGTTCTGGGAATTGAACCCTGGTCCCTGCACTTGCCTAAGCAGGGCTTAATCCACTAAGCTATCTTGCTGGCCCTGAAAGTACATCTTTTTTATAAGATTTAAAATAGTTGACTTATCAGCAAGGCTGCTGGCCACAAACAAGGCACGAGTGATGCATCTTGACAGAGCTGTTTTCTGCACCAAGGGCCTTCGGGTAGCTTGCAGGAAACCTGGAGTTTATTGATAGGCTGCTGCTACAGACCACCTAAAGCATGTGTACACAAAAGCAATAAAGGAAACCTTGATGACCACACAGTTCAACTCTCTCAATATACAGACGGAGATGGCAAGGTATAGCCTCTACCTGCCATGACCGAGTGCATAGTTACAAAAACTTTTTCAATTAAGCTAGCGAATATTTCCCATTTGGGACAATGTTTAAAGTGCTGTGACGAAACTGAGGCCCCAGCACTATGCTGTTCCCATGGCTTTATTCTGTACAGGACTCGGCAGTTCACAGCCCCAGATCCAACTCTTTAATAGTGAGAGATGACCTGTGCTTCAGGATCCACACGAAAGAGTGAGGTCTAGAGTGTGCATTCCCCTCCATTCAGTCACCCTGCTGTTTCTAGCAGTGTTCCAGCCCTGCGGAAAGACTTGATAAGGCACAGGGGCCTGAGTGTGTGTTGCCATGGCTACTTCCCTCCCTTCCCAAGTGTGACATCACATCCTTCTGGCTCTGAGTCGTGGGAGAGGGTGCTGTAGGAATGAACCAGTGTGGACTAGAAATGATGTTCTCTGATCTCTGCATTGTCAGTAGTGAAGGCTCTAGTGTAGCCACTCAATTGGCAGCAGAATGGGGAGTAAATTCCAGTAAAGGGGGGTTGGAACTATAACAACCCTAAAGCCCCTTCAAATGTATGATTCCACTCTGTTACCTGGAGGGGAATGACTTCTTTTCTCCTAGGTCAAATACACACGATTTGTTGCATATCATGTTGTGACTTAAGAGGAGAAGCTTTAGTATACTGCATAGCCTTGAGGGCTGGGCAAGAGCAACTACAGTGACAGCACTGCACAGAACACCCACATCCTGGGCCGAAGACTTCCAGCAGCCTATGCTACGGGGACAGCGGGAACCAGAGGTATGTAACTGCGAGGCAAGTCCATTCATGTAATGCCCAGGGAGACATGAGGCATTAGCCTCTATGCTTTTTCAAAGCAATTAAGTTAAAAGGTGGGAAAGAGATTAGAAATGTAGGTTTTCCTGAAGCAGAAACTCTTCTGGGGATTGCTGATTGGTTAAAGGGTTAAGGAACAGGGAGGGTAATGGGAAGGAAAGAAGTGAATACACTGCTGCTTCCCACAATGGTCTCTTTACTTCCCCACCCCCAGTGCCCTACTTGACCACACAGTAAAATGCCGAGAAAACAGACTAACGCCGTCAGGTCAGTCACACTGGGCAGGGTTTCCAGACAGTTACTCCCCACATCGAAAACAAGGGAAGTACTGATGGCCAGTGTTCCAATCGTCTTTCTGCCTGGAGTCTTTCCTGAAGGAAGCTCAGGCTCAAGGCCATGACTCACACTTTCTGCATGGAAATACATTCATTAACAACCCTACTGCGTTCTCCCACGGCCCTTGTCACTTCTCACTATTGCATCTGCCCTCCCTCCCTCCCTCTTGGCTTCAGTCTGGAAAATTCAGCCAGGTCTCCAGGAGCACAGAATGATCCCAGCTGGTGGTTGAGAATCTGTGTAAAGACTTCTTTTAAAAAGTGTGGTCTTTAAACCCAAGGTGGATGAATTAAACTGACATTTATGATAAGAACTGCTATATGCTTTAGTCATTTCCATGACAATAAACAACTCCCTTATAAGCAGAACATATGCTTCTGGGAAAAGTCATTTTATATTTGTCTCTGTAATATTCTGAGTGAGTTATATCACAAAATTCCAAGAGGTCTCTGAAAAGACTTCAGTGTATGCCCTTTGTCTTCAGAGTCAATGACTAAAAAATGAATTAATTAGAACTTTGAATCCTTAATGATATGTATTCTTTCTCTTGCCTTTGGGGGCAAAGAAGACAAAAAGGAGATCTTTACATGACTTCCATTAGAACAGCAAACTCTAAGGCTGCTGTTCTTCATATCTCAGATTTGACACAACTTTGTAACCTACCTCCTCCTCTCTCCTTCTCATCCTCCGCCTCTTCCTTTAGCAGTTTGCCAACAGAATTATACCACTTAAAGTGTGGGTCAGGGATGCCATAAACACTGCAATTAATCAAGGCACTGTTCCCTTCCTTGACTATGATATGGTCAGTTCTGGCAATGATTACAGGCACAGCGCCCAACGCCATGTCAGTGCCATTTAAAGTGCTGTTAGCCACACTCTTAGCACTTGCTAGAGTGGATACTAGGATTAAAAAGGGCACAGAAGGTAGAAAGCACACAGTCAGATGGCTCTTCAACAGATCCATCTTCTTTGCTTGCTCTGTAAGGCAACAGCTGGTTTGCCGATGGAATCTTCTAGCCGATGACACACTGTTCAGAGCGGGCCATGGGACAAACCTGTCCTGGATCCATGGAGTTGGTATTTGATTAACACTCTGTTAAAAAAACAAAAATCATACATACATAAGTATTAGCATTTATGCTTTAAAAGATATTACTGATAAAATTTTAGCAATCTGTCTAAAATACAAACATACACAAGTTCAGAAGGCATTCCAATGTTAAATGATGTTTTTCACACACAAACACACACACACACACACACACACACAAATAACCAGTACTTTGTTAAGTTTTGCTATTAAAACACGTAACTTAGTAGAAAAAAAAATCTCTCATTGTTAAATTGATGTCACCTTACTGCCCAGAGCTCAAGACTGATCTAGCTTCTTTGACATAGCAATACAATGTTTCTCTTATGCTGTTACCTATCTTCACCGTGAACAGCCTGAGTGCTCACTAGAGCTGTCCCTTGCCTCTTCTCTTTCAGGAAACTGGAACTCCAGGCTGTTTCACTGGTCCTCTGCCAGAATTTGGAAGGACTTTTCCAGAATCCATCTGGTATTTCTGCAACTCCATATTATGGCTTCCAGGATATTTTTCTCCCCTACCTATGATCTTATGACCCCCACCGAATCTGTATCTGTCTCTATTGACTATGCTATTATCATTTCACTCCTAAGCACTCACTAAATCCCCCCATTTCCATCTTTATCTGCCTCCCAGAAGCTGAAAAATATCATCATAATGGTGAGGGGACATTGGGTGGCTGTTCTTCAGTGTTCAAAGATCTAACCTTAACCAATTTCTCTCTCCTCTGCTTTACCAACTGACCCTACGGCTATAACAGTCTCCAAATTCTGAAGTTCAAATAATTCTCATGTTTTAAGTAAACCATATTTAATTGCAATCAACCATTCCTTCATATCGCTTACTCTCTTCCCTGGGCTTTCTGGATCTTCTATGTCTCTTAGTCTTTCTGCTCCCCAACCCCCCAATTGGCACACTTCCTACCTACCTCAGGCTAGATCCAATCATGAAGATCACATCCCACATCCTCACCCCTTGCCCTAGTGCCACATTTACTCTGCCGATAGACAACCTTGTGATCAAGCCAATCGTTTATCCCATACCTAGAAAGCGGCACAGCACTGGGAAAAGTCATAAAATGATGTAATTATTGCCACATGAAGGAACAACCTCCATCCCGCGGTGACTTCTGGCCAACTGTTTACCAGTTCTCAATCAATTTAGCATTCTCTTTTATGATTACATATATCTTCATCTTGCAAATTAACCATGTTAGCCCAGTGGTATTCCCACCTCCTCAAAACAAGAGAGACTACCTTTCTCCTGGTAAGCCTCGAAGCATTTCTCCTTATTCATCTTCCCACTTTTTGGAAAGTATACTGTATCTTATGTTCAAAGCCTTATTACCATTTACTCCCCAATTTTCTATATTTCATCTGTTATTTTCTAAAACATCTCTTGTTCAGAACACCAATCATTTCTCGTTGCCTATTTTTTGCCTACCACTTACCAAGTGTTTATGGTGATCGATATTATTGATGCTTTCTCAAAACTGTTTTTCCATGGAGGTTTTCACACTCTGTCCCTCCTGATCCCTTCTTCTTCCCACTCCTTAAAAGTTAAGCTACTCTTACAGTTTAATCTTTAGCTCACTTCCCTTTCCCTATCCAGCTCCTTCTAAGATTTCTTCCCTCGCCTTCATTGCCACCTACAACCTAAGTTGTAACTCCAAAATCCATGTTCTAAGTTCTGTCTCTTTCTTGAGTTTCAGATTGTTATTATCAACCTGGATGTTCTGCATACAACTTAAAATTAACATTTTGCAACCAAACTCCTTATCTTATCTGCAAAATATGACAGTTCTAGAATCCCTTATTTCACTGCAGGGCAACACTGTCTTTGGAGGGATGCAAGAGAATAGCCTAAAACACTGTCCTCCCCCAGAATATCAGTAGTCCCATGGTGGTTTCATTTGTTACAGATTACTTAGATCTGGTCCATCCTGTGACCTCCTCTTACCAGAAATGGTGTGGCAGACTTCCGCTTAATCTGCCTGACTTCCATCTTTCTCCAAATCCTCATCCAACCTTCATAGCCACCGGTAGAGTAACCACACCATGACTTAAACTATGGTGCCATTCCTTTCCTTAGCAGCCTTCAATGTTTCCCCAATGCTTACGTCATGAATCTGAATTCCTTACCTATTCATTCACTCAAAAAAGTTCACAAAGGTAGAGGAGAAAGATCCTTCACATTAGGTGGAGCTTATGCTCTCATGAAGTAAAGCGAACAATAAAAAGCACATGTATAAAATCAGGATTTCAGCTACAAATGTACACCTCAATAAGCATACCATGATGGGCTGAGTGCTGAGTTAGGCAGCTGGGAAGGACTTAACTGAGGTGGCCACTGAGCCACGGTCAGCAAGGCCAAGACCTGGGAGAAGAGTGTTCCAGGAAGAAGGAACAACAAAGCAAATACTGCAGGTGAAGAAACAAGAGAAGTGTTACGCAATTGGTCAGAGAAGTAGACGGACCCAGGTCATTCAGGGCTCTGCAGGCCAGACTAAGGAGAGTTGGGTAATATCTCATATTCAGTGTGGGCTGAGGATGGTCCACCCCTATTGCCCTAGCTCTTGGGAAGCTGAGGCAGGAGGACGGTAAGTTAGAGGCCAGCCTGGGCAACCTAGTAAGTTTAAAGGCAGCCTCATCCATATAATGAAACTGCCTTCTTCAACAACAACAAGAATAATGAAAACACCACCACAAATGAAAGAATAATGTTAATTGGCAAATTTTTAGCAGGAGAGTTATACGGTATGGTTTTTAAAAAAAATCAACTTTACTGTGCTATAATTTGCATTCAACGTAGTGTGCCTCCTTTAGGTAGACATTTTAATGGGTTTTGACAAATCCATACTCTTGTGTACCTACTGCCGTGAACAAGGTATCAAACATTCCCATCTTTATTGAAAGTCCGCTGCCCCTGCCCAGTATTGGTGTTCATCACAATCCAGTTCTTACGTCTGTGTACGCCCCCAACAAATTCACGTTCCCATTCTCCTCCTGTGAATATCTAGTTATTTCAGCTGTATGTGCAGAAAAGGCTGTCCTTCCTCCAAAGGATTACTCTGCCTTCTTGTTAAAACAATCATATAGGGTGGGTCTATTTTTAAAGTCTTCATTCTTTCCCACTCACCTATATGTCAGCCCTTGTGCTGATACTGTGCTACCCATGCTGCCTCCTTTATCTCTGTATCTTTAGTCTCTGATGTTGCCTCTAATGCACAGGATGCCTGATCAATTTGTCTGCAGAATGGAGATCTGTCCAAGGGGAAAAGGCATTATTCCAATTCTGTATATAATCAACAGGAAGAGGTACCTGGTGTTGATAAACTGGCTTCAGATCATGTATTTCCTTAGCAGGAAAGAAGCATTTTCTCAGTGCGGGCCCTTTGCATGCTGGCCCTGTAGCCCCAGTGAGCCCACACATCTCCCCACTGTGGCAAGGGCGGACAGCGCACATTGCAGTGGGACCACAGATACTGCTGTGACTCCGGAAACAGCTTTCTTTACTTGGCTGAATGTGTGGTTTCCTTTTCTCTGGGCAGCTGTAAAGCTGCCATACATGAGAGTAGAGCTGTCAGGAGCCCTCTCTCAGGATTTAGATAGATGAACAGGATCTCCATTCTTAGCCACTTTTATTTTTTGGTGGTGGTACTGGGGATTAAACCCAAGGCATTGGCCCTGAACTATATCCTTGGCCCTTTTAGTTTTAATTTTGAGACAGGGTCTAAGTAGTTAAATTGCCCAGGCTGGGCTCAAACATGCCATCTGTCCTGGGATTACAGGCAGGTGATGTTATGAGTGGCCTAGTTCTCACTACTTTTATTGGCTGTATGTTTTTGGTCAAGAAATTACCAAACACAGGACAACTGTGAAGATTCACAGTATGTATAACAAGCATACTGACAGGTTGATAAATATCAATATCAGTATTAACATAATGTACTAAGCATCCTGAACTGGAAATGACTGCTAAATCTATTTTTAACTTGTCATTTAAAAGACATATTTTTTGTTCTGGACTTTCATTTGGTGCCATGTCACCACAAGGAACCATTATATGTGACTTCATGCTGACCTTAAACTGGCAGTAATCCTCCTGCCTCAGCCTTCCAAGTTGTGGGTTATAGGCATGAGCCACCATGCCCAGCTAGTTGTTGGTATCTTGGATTAGGAGGTTGGGTCACTGATTCCCTGACACCTAGGTTGGGGCAGACATCTGCCTCAGTACTTCATCAGAGAATCAGAGATAAAACAAAGCTGGAGATAGGTTCTAATAAATAAGTAGAGTAAATACACTATAACTTTTTCACAATTAATGAGAATATAAGAAATAGAAGAGTAAAGAATTTTAAAATGCACTGTCAAGAGTTATTTTTAAACAGGGATTACTTCCACTTTCAAACACATTGTGGGTGCAAGAATAAGAAGGGGGTACTGCTGAGTTCTGATATTTTCATAATAATGGTGCTCTGGGCTAGAAACAGTGATTACTTAGATGCTTCAACTTGCCTTTTAGAGTCTGTTTAATGTACAGAGACAGACTTGCCTTTAATATGGGAATTCAGCTACCACGCCAGTTCTGTTCCTCTCCCATTCCTACTCTCTTTCTGTCCCATGCTAAAGTTATTAAGGGGCAAAAGACACACCAAAGAGTTTTAACATGGAGCTGACTGACACTAATAGAGTAATAATTTTACTAAAAAATACTGTATCAATACTATGCTCTTCTGGTTCTGATAGTTTATTTTAAAACATTTGTTTTATGTCAGACATGTTGCAAGGGGCTTAGGGGATGAAGAATGATACTACAACTCAGTAAATCTTAGGCCATGTGAGTGCACATTTCCACCTGTTCTCTGGTGCTGTGGGCTTGGGCATGGGTAGGTTGAAGGTAACTGAACAGCCTTAGATACAGTGGGTGACAATGCCTGTCGATTTCCTACCCTGTAGCCCAGCCTCTCCTCTGCCTTCCCTTCAACACAGAGCCCACAGCGGGT